TCTCTCTCTCTCTCTCTCTGTCTCTCTCTCTGCCCTTTCCCTGCTTGTGCTGTCTCTCTCTCAAAATAAAATAAACTTAAAAAAAAAAATAAAAAAGTGTCTGTTAATCTTATACAATGTATTTAAGCGCCTGCCAATCCTTTTTGGAAACACTAAGGCTTGAGAAAACATTCACTGCCAGCTGGTCCACACAAGTGCATGGCGGAAGGTAGCAAAAGACGCCACTTACATGTCCTGAGGCTCTGACACTTCCAAGTAGCGCATCTTCATTAACTGAGGAAAGTCCATTTCCTCTTTCACCTCCCAGTCACTACGGACTTCCACTGAAGAGTCTCGGGGTTTCTGCAGTGCAAAACCAGGGGAGGGAAGAGAGTTACAGCCAGTGCGAGGCAGAAGCAAAAGGCAGCTTAGCAGCGCGAAGGGCTTTTAGCCAATAAACGTGTCCAGAACATTTACCACGTGCTGGGTGCTGTAGGAGCCAGAATCCCTGACCCCGAATTCGGAGTTTACAATCTCGAAGGGGAACGAGGGAGTCAAGGGGTCAAAAACAACCCGGGAACTTGACTCCCACGTAATGCCGGCGCCCAGGGAACGTACGTGTTTTCCGTGTGTATGGGTTCTTCCTAAAGAAGCTATGGCAGCTTCTTTTATTTCTCTCTGGATGTCAGCTATTTACCCTTGACATAGAAACATCACATCCGGCAAAATCTAACCGCTGCAATCTGGAGCTCCTCACTTGCCCTCACGTGTTCTTCGTTTATCACAGTGTCCGCCCGAGCATTTGTACGCGAACGTTCATGGCAGCGTTTTTCATAATAGCAACAGGTGGAAACCACCCAGACGGCCATGTACTGGTGAACGTGTACACAAAACGCAGTGTGGGGGCACCTGGGTGGCTCAGTCGGTTAAGCTTCCGACTTTAGTTCAAGTCATGATCTTGCCTTTTGTGGGTCCGAGCCCAGCATCGGGCTCTGTGCTGACAGTTCAGAGCCTGGAGCCTGCTTCAAGTTGTGTCTCCTTCTCTCTCTCAAAAATAAATAACGTTAAAAAAAAAAAACAACAACAACCAAAAAACCAGCCACAAAAATGCAGTGTGTCCACACAACCAATTCAGCAATGTGCCGACACACGCCACAACAGGGATGAACTGTGAAAGGAGCTACACAAAAGACCACATGTCATAGGATTCTATTTATGTGAAATGTCCAGAAGAGGCACATCCAGAGATAGAAAAGACCGGTGGCAGCCAAGGGCTGGGGAGAACCGGGGCTGGCTGCCGAAGGGTATGTGTTGTTTTCACAATGATTCAAACATTCTGAAACTGGCGAATATGTGTGAATATACCAAGAGCCACTGACTTGTACACTTTCAATGAGTGGATGGTGTGATATGTGAATTATGTTTCAATAAAGCAGTTACAAAACCAAACACATACGCGAAACTGAATTTCTAGACAGAACTCTGGTGTGGATACACTACCTGTGACTTCTGGTCCCATTTTTGCCTCACTCCGAACTGTTTCTGAAATTTTTTCTGCAGTCGTATGCGTTCTCTAGAAAGACAAGAAGACTGTGCTTTTGGTGCAGATCTTTGAGTCACTGGCTTTTCAAAAGGCAGAAAAGCTGCCATTCTCTTCGGCTGAACCTCAGCATCATTAGTGACTTCTCTGAACTAAGAAAACAGGGACTTCATGAAAAAGAGGAGACCTTAAGAGTGTTATAGGAGGCATACTGCCCCCCAGCACCCACCAGCTGGGTTTTACTCGCCCTATGGACGGTCCAATGGCAGCACCAGCCTGGGTGTGGCCGCTGCACCGCACAGCTCACAGGGCCCAGCTGAGCCCCAGAGCTCATCTTACCTACCCTCGCTTCTGGCCAGTGCACACGGCCACTGCCAGGGACCTTCCCGCCATGCTATCTGCCAAGAACTGGCCCTTGGAAAATGAGGCCAGGCTACACCAGTGGCTTAATGGCCTTCAGGAAGGAATTTTTGCTTGTTTGGCAGTGACGGGGAAGACCACCGTTGGCCTAGTGATTTCAGAGCACGGTCGGTCCTGGAAGAACAACTCAATCCAGGAGGATGTGGGAAACCTCACCTCTCCTTCTGCTTGGCGCTCTTAGGCAGGGTCTGCAGGTTGAACTGCAACATGTTCCGTCGATCTTTGTCTCTGCGGAGGTTCCGCTGGGAATCAAGAAAAAACAGCCACGCTAAAACCTTGGGGATCTGACCAACAGCAGGGAGTGCCCAGGGGGAGGTCTATACTTGGAATTGGCTTAGACGTTCACACGACATTTTTTATTGAAGTAGGTTTATGGGCCCTTGTTAGAGTTGTAGTTTGCCTCTTTATACATAGGAAGATGCAGCCCGACCGGACCATCTACTTAATAAAGCCTGCACACAGCAATTAAATGAGGCATCAGGCATCTTTTTACCTGGCACGAACACCCCACTCTCAGCACAGAGGCATGAGGTCCTGGCCACTGGTCAGCAGAAAGCTAAACTATTTAGACCATCTCTGGACCCAGCCCACGTTTACTTTAGCGCAACGTGTCACCGGTCAGCTACTTGGGAGTCACTGGAAGACCTAGGAGAACACGCTTTCCTCCCGTCACTATGTGCAAGGAAGCACTTTTAGCAGGTGGCAGCCACGGGTAATGGCCCCAAGACGGTCAGATTGCCGGCTCTTGGCCTACCTGTGCAAATCGCATCCGATTCCGCTGGTAGGCGGTTTTCTGTGTGCGTGCTGTGTCCACCAGCTGGAAACTGGTTTCATCCTCCTCGTGGAAATAAGCATACTGACTTCCACCACCGAACTGAGAGGAGTACTTATCTGCAGGCAAAGGGGATGATGTGTAACAGATGCTACCTACAGACTCTGCACGCCTGCTCTTCTAAAGCCCTGCTAGTTCTTTTAAAACTTTTTTTTTTTTTTAAATGTTTTTAGTTATTTTTGAGAGACAGAGCACAACTGGGAAAGGGGCAGAGAGAGAGGGAGACACGGAATCCGAAGCAGGCTCTGAGCTGTCAGCACTGAGCCCGACGTGGGGCTTGAACTCACACACCGTGAGATCATGACCGGAGCTGAAGTCGGATGCTTAACCGACTGGGCCACCCAGGCGCCCCTAAAGCCCTGCTATTTCGAGTGTGCTCTCAGGACCCTTAACGGAAGTGCATGTTGATGGACTCCGCCCAGCCCCACTACGTCAGAATCAATGTTTTCAGAAGGTCCCCAGGTGATTCTTGTGCACATTCCAGTTTGAAAAGCTCTGATCTAAAGAAATTTCTAAGTCACGACAGAGTCTGAGTTCTTTAAGATAAGCCCATTTCACACCCTGCCTTAATCTATGAGGACCGGAATTAAGGTTTACTACTCCAGAAAGGGCAAATATGGGGTATGCGGTATGCAAATATGCAACCACTTACATCATCTGGTACCCCAAGCAGACAGGTCTAATGGGTTATGATATACTTTACTGTTGACCCTAGCCTCAGATCATCCTAACTGGGTACTCACTCCAACTAAGCCACTTCCAACAATCTCAACTGGCACAGGAAAAAACGAGACGACAACACCAACACCACCAACCCATCTACTGTATCAAGATCTTAAAATCAGGGCTTGTAGACCTGGAGTCCACCGATTGGCTTCACAGGTTCGGTAAATCCCAGGCACTAGGGTACCAAATGGGAAGGAGTTCAACAGATCTGTGAAAGGGTTTATGCCTCCCTAAAAGCGGAAGGAAAAAAATCCCACTGTAACAGGTTAAACCTCCTTAATGACCAGTCTTTAGTTTTGGGACCGTTTCAAAAAAATGTATGTGGTTATTGTCTACAGTTCAGCTCCTGCCCCTAAAAACTATGTGTTATCGTTAGCAAAACATCCTGGAATGTTTTTGGATGGAGGTCACTGGAAAAAGTAACAATCCTCCCAAGGCCTTGATCTGGGCGGTCAGTTGAACACTTACTCGTGTACCTCTTATCTTGATATGTGGCACCTGTCCAGTCTGCAACCTGTGAGGCAACAAGAGAAGACAGAGCACGCAGGTCAATCAGGCAAGTTTCTGCTGACCCAGAAGCCCCCGTACGCGAAGACGCAGTCTGGGAAAGTGTAAGGACTGGCTCACGATGCCTCTGCCAAGTGCCCAGCTCTCCCGTGACTACTGGAAGGACCCAGACGTTATAGCTGTTCCCAGCCAGCGTCTCCGTGAGGAGCACAGGAGTTAAATTCTTTTGAGAGAATAAAATCGAAACGATCTAACAGACGACAGCGGTCACGGCTCGAAAGAGTCACTGTCACTGACGGGCCAAGTACCTTTCCTAGTCGATCTCCTTTGCTAAACGGCTGGTAGGGCATATCCCGAAACTGCTCAGGAACCGCACAGGGACCCCAACCCGAGGGGTTGTCCTGGATCACAGGTGTCATGAACTTTGCCATCTTCTAGAATCTTAAAGATACAAATAATGTGAGGAGCTTTGTGAAGAAAGGCCTCCAAGCCCAAAAAGCCTTCCATTCGAGGTAAGCTAAGACAGAATGATAAAATCAGAAAAGCGACACACAAGATGGAAGTCACAGATAATACTGTGAGTACTTAAAACTCAGAGGACAAATACGAAGACTCATTTACCGTATTGTGCTGCTTGTGACACCCACTTTTTCCACTATAATATCTTTGAAACAAGGCTGCATCTTCCGCTTGATGGACTGTCTCACCTTAATCGGCAGTTTTTCTTTCTTAGTCTACATATGACAGTGGTGCTTCTTTTTTTTTTTTTTAAATTTTTTTTAACATTTATTTATTTTTGAGACAGAGAGAGACAGAGCATGAATGGGGGAGGGTCAGAGAGAGGGAGACACAGAATCTGAAACAGGCTCCAGGCTCTGAGCGGTCAGCACAGAGCCCGACGCGGGGCTCGAACTCACGGAGTGTGAGATCGTGACCTGAGCCGAAGTCGGCCGCTTAACCGACTGAGCCACCCAGGCGCCCCTCGACAGTGGTGCTTCTTAAACGCAGCGGGGTCTCAGATTTGATGGAATGTAGTAACCTTTTCTCAAGCGTAATAACCACGATCTAGTTTCCAGAAACACCTTCACCAAGGCAAACAATCCCTAGCATCCCTAAGCCTCAGTCTTTTCATCTGTAAAGTGAGTGAGACCCTTGTCTAATTCATAGCACAAGACCAGGGTCAAAGACTTAATAGTTACGCACATGAAAATGCCTTCGCTGTAAAATGCCACACCATTACTACTTAGACTTGCAAAAATACATTTACACACAGTGCCGGGAAAGAGTCCGTAAGTATATCCCACTATTCAACTTTTCTTTCTCATTCTCCCAATTTTCTGCCATCAATGCAAACCCTCACGCAGAGCAAGTGGACAGAGCCTGTCAGAAAGCTGATGTTACCATGAACCTTAGGTTGTAGAAGTGGCCAATCATCACATGTTTGTAATATTACGAGTACCAGGTACTGTTCTTAGTGTTTACTCTGCACCAATTCAGTAAATCCTCCCAATGATCCTGGCGTAGCGGCTAGTATCATCTCCACTCTTCAGGTAAGAAAATTGAGGCACAGAGAAGCTAAGAAGTTGTTCAAATTTGCAATGCTAGTTGACGAAAAAATCTGAACCAAAGCAGTCTGGCTGGAATTCACACTCTGTGTGAGGCTACAGCTCCTCTCGAGAGAGAAAAAGCCAGGGGCTACAGAGCACATCTCTGCCTGACGGTTTCTATCAAAAACCTCATCATCCATCATAATCCTCAGGTGAGCTCCCAGAGGAAAATTCACTACACGAGTATTTCTGGAGGCAGCCATCAAAGCACACAGGCACAGTGACCTTAGTAAGTTCTCAGTGTCCCATGACAGGGAGAGAGATTCAGGCTTCCTCCAGAAGTGACACCTGGGTGACAGCAACAGGGACCTTCGTCCTTCAACTCTATGCTTAAGCTACACTACAGAAAGGGGACTGAGGGCAGGCGTGGCAGTTTCAAGACAATTCACACTAAAATACGTATTTATGGAGCTCCTACAATGTCAGACACTATGCTAAATTAAAAATTTGCAGCTCAGCTGTCGATCCGTCCATTGTTTCAAAAACAGACTTGATTTCCAGGGTTGTCTGCACCAAGTCCAACATTCTTACCATTACGTTATAGCTGGGCAGCAGGCTGAGAAAACATGGGGTGTTACTTTTTACAATGTTTTATTTTTGAGAGAGACAGAGCATGAGTGGGGCAGGAGCAGAGAGAGAGAGAGAGAGAGAGACACAGAATCTGAAGCAGGCTCCAGGCTCCGAGCTGTCAGCACAGAGCCCGCTGCAGGGCTCGAACTCACGGGGTGTGAGATCATGACCTGAGCGGAAGTTCGATGTTTAACCAACTGAGCCACCCAGGCACCCTGAAAAAAATGGGGATTTAGACTATACCTAGTAACCCAGTAATGATGTTTAAAAACGTTTAAGAAATCGAGTCCTCTCTCACAGCTCAAGAAGGAAACAGACCCAAGGCTTGGCATACATTTCTCCAGGGGGAGGAAGTCCCCTGGCTTCAACCCATTCAAAATAAGAGCGAGCAGAACAGAACCAGAAGGAGAAAGAGCCACTCTGTTATATCGAAGTGACAGCTGTACTGGCTACAAGGACAGGGTGGGGAGGCCACCACAGGGCAGTCAGAAGGGGCCCATGGCTGGCAGGGCACGGTATTGTGCAGATTACCCTGACCACCACAGATCATATGCCATCAGTCCCTGGGGGGAGAGTTTCAAATCAGAGATCACACCTGCTCCACCACAGCCTTCCATTTCACAGAAAAGGAAAGAAAACCTTCGGACTGCGGACTCCTCAGAGCAGGATCGAACACTGCTCAGCTTGGTACAGTCAGTACCTCCTTCCACGGCAGCTCAGAGAGCCTCTGATCGCTTTGAAAAGACCCTGAGACCCAAAGGGGTTAAGTGGTATTATCAAAGTCGCTCAGCCCGTGGCCGCAAAGCGGAGCCCAAGGTCAGAGAACCTTACCCATAAGGCCGTGCCCCGCATCCCTAAGTGTGTCGGGCCTGGGGTCCCCGAAAGGCGGATTCGTGCCCCGCCCAGCTGAGCAGAAGTGGCCGGAGACGTACGAGAGGCCTCTTCCGGAAGGCCCCCGAAGGCTGCGCCCAGCCCAAACCGGCTCCAGAGATACGGAGAACCTTAAGGGACACTCCACTCACCTGTAAAGGCCTCGGGCGGCCCCGATGGCGAGAGATGGTCCAGGCCGAAGACCACACACCCAGCAGCCCTCGGAGGAACGGAGGGAAAAAGGAGAGAAGATGCGCGCGCAGCGGCCGGCGCCGTAAACACAATCGACGCTGTCGTAAACTGCGTTCTTGCTTCCTCCGGACTCAAGGGCGGAACGCACGAGTCGTAAAGCGACGGCAGACCCGGAAGTTCGTCACAACTCTCTGCTAGGTGGCCCGATGGGTCTCTGAGGAGCCGAGACTCCGGAGGTGTGTTTACAATTACGTCACGGGCGCCTCCGGCGAGGCCCCGAGAGGGCGTTCCGAATTATTGAAACGTGGCTGCCCGGCAGTGGAGGTTGGGGGCGGGCAGCGGTGACCGCCCTTCTGTGTCCCCCCAGTGTTTCGCGGACGCTTCGGCCCCTCTGTATCGCACCGTGACCGGGGCTCCGGTCTTCTCTAGCTAGTCGTGTGGCTCGAGTCTCACAGCTGGGGGCAGGTCGAGAGTCAGGGCAGAGGTTAAAGTTACCATCCCCTACCCCCGCCCCCTGTACCACCCCCGCCCCCCGGCTTTTAGTCTCGGTAACATGCCCAGAGGGGAGGGTTATATTGCTAGTGTAGAGGGCGGCCGCCAGGATTCCAGCCACACTCCACGGTTCTCAAATTTTGTAGGGCAAAGATTTCTGGGGCGCCGAAGTGTAGGATGGAGACCGCGGGTCTCACCTCCACGGACGGGTTATTTAACTATGTCTAAGCTGGAGGCCGGGAATCAGCTTAGCGATTGTGATTCTGAAGTGGCGACCGCTTTGCTACGAAGGGCAACCGTGCTGTCCTTTCAATGACTATCGGGTCTCCGGAGTTTGTCCTGAAATCTTATTGGGGGATTTCAAAGCATTGAAAGAGGATCCGAGGACGTGCTTTTATTCAAACCTCACATCCTTTTCTACCTGGTCTGGGATTCCTCCCAGCGTGTCTCTTCTGTCGGAAAATGTATCTATTGTTAGATCTGATATCTGCTTGGCTCTGCTACCTGCAAGCTGTGTAGGCTTCTCATCTCTGGGCTCAGTTTCCTCATCTGTAAGTTAGAGGTAATAAAATTATATTGGGTGCAATGAGAGTAAAAATACATTCATATGAGAACAGTAATTCCACTTACGTGAACTTGGGGACAGGCTATTCGATCTCTCTCTGAAGCTGCTTACTCATCTGTGAACTGAAAATACTAACAGCTGTTGGGGCACGTGGGTGGCTCAGTTGGTTAAGCGTCCCACTCTAGATTTTTTGCTCAGGTCACGATCTCAACGGTTGGTGGGATCGAGCCCCCAGTCAGGCTCCTCGCTGACATCGGGGAGCCTACTTGTGATTCTTTCCATCTCTGTCTCTGCCCCTTTTCTCTCTCATGTGCACGCATGCTCTCTCTCTCTCAGAATAGTAAAAAATATTAATAGCCTTGTTTGTTTCTATAACTTTTCTCCCAATCTGCTCCTGTTCCAGTTTTCCTAATTTTTATTGATGGCACCCAGGTAATGGTGTTCAGCCGAAACCTTGTAGTCCTCATTGGTAATTCCTTTTCCGTTTCCCACCACATTCCCACACTTGGTCCTTTACCAAGTCCTCTTGATTCTGTTTTCAAAATCCACCATGAGTGCTATCACTTTGCTCCAATGTATCCAGGCTCATGCTCAGACTCCCAGCGTCCACTTCCTGCTCCTCTGGGCTCCTTCTCCACATGGTGCCCAGAGCAATCTACTGTCTTCTAGCAGCTTCCCATGTTTTTTTTTTTTTTTTTTTTAATTTTAATGTTTATTTATTTTTGAGGGAGAGAGAGAGAGAATGAGCAGGGCAGGGGCAGAGAGAGAGGGAGACACAGAATCTGAAGCAGGCTCCAGGCTCCGAGCTGTCAGCCCAGAGCCCGATGTGGGGCTCGAACCCACGAACTGTGAGATCATGACCTGAACCGAAGTCGGACGCTCAACCAACTGAGCCACCCAGGCACCCCTTCCCATATGTGCTTAGGGTTGAAACATGAATGGCTTCCTGTGGCCTGTCTGGTCCCTGGTTACCTTCCAACTTTACATCCTGTCTTCTATACTGACTCGGCTATGGGTACCATGATCTTTCTGTGCCTTAAGTACATCCACCTCTTATCTATCCCAGCAGGGCCTCTGCATTTTCTGTGCCTTCCGCCTGGAACAGTCTTTCCCAGATTTGCCTGTGCCTGGCTCATCATTCGTGTCTCCGTTCAGACTTCTCTCTTCAAGGAGATCTTCTCTGACCACCATTCCTAAAGAGGCTTCTCCTCCCTCCTCCCTCCTCACCCTCTTACTCTGCTTCCTTGTAGTTCTTATCATGCTCTGAAGTATTTTTTTGTTTCCTTGTTTGGGTTCTGTCTCTGCCTCTAGTGTATAAGCTCCATAAGAGTAGAGGTTTTGTCTGTCTTACCTAGAGCAGTGCCAGTAAGACATATTGGTTGAATTGTTGAATGAATGGATAGGGGTTTTATGAGAATTGAATGAAAAAATAAATTCAGTAGATTATCCTGGGCACATAAGTAAGTACTCAGTGTCAGTGTAGGGAAGATCAATATTAATTGTAATATGTTCTAAAACGTAAAGAGTGGGGCACCTGGGTGGCTCAGTTGGTTAAGTGTCCGACTTTGGCTCAGGTCATGATCTCACAGTTTGTGAATTCGAGCCCCGCATGAGGCTCTGTGCTGACAACTCAGAGCCTGGAGCCTGCTTCAGATTCTGTGTCTCCCTCTCTCTCTGCCCCTCCCCTGCTCATTCCCTCTCTCTCTCTCTCTCTCTCTCTCTCTCTCTCAAAAATAACATTAAAACATTTTTAAATGTAAAGGGAGATGTATTTTTTTAAGTTTATTTATTTATTTAGAGAGGGCACAAGCAAGGGAGGGGCAGAGAGAGAGAGAGAGAGAGAGATTGAGGCTCACAAGCAGGCTCCACACTGTCAGTGCAGAGCCTGATGCGGGATTCGAACCTGCAACCCATGAGATCATGACCTGAGCCAAAATCAAGAGTGGGATGCTTAAGTCACTGAGCAATCCAGGCACCCCAAGGAGATGTATTTTTGCTCAATTGCTTCATTTCATTTCTTTTCTTTCTTCCCCTTTCTTTCTTTCACTTGGGTTCACAGGCCATCTACTGCAGTCTCTTCCTTGTGTCAGAGTTTAATCATCTTTCCCATATTTTGGCCTCAACATGTCCCCAGATGGAGGAGGGTTTGGAGAGTCCTGCCTCATTCTGCACAGTGGGTCTCTGGCCTTGGGTGGCAGATCTTGCCTTCATTCCTTCTTTCAATGGACACCCTTGCTGCCTCTCTTTCTCTCCACCCCGCTGTCCACACGCAGCTGGAATGACCCTCCTTTACATTAAGTCGGAGCATGCCTGGCCTCCCCCTCCCCAGCTGTTTAGTAGCTTACCTCTAGCCCGAGGAGAAAATCCCACACTCTGTTCTGTGGGCTGCAAGTTTCTAATGCATCTTCTCATTGGCAGCATTCTGTTTGTGCGTCATACCCAGGTTCATTACTGCCTGGAGACCTTTTTACCTGCGGTTCTCTGGGGCTTGGAATGCATCTCCCCTAGATCTTAATGCCCTTGTGTCTTCATCAGACAGACATTTCCTGATCGCCCCTCTGTGTTGCCTCACCCTGTCCTCATTGACTTGCTCAGTGGCCCCATGCCTGGCACTATTCCAAGTATTTGCATTAACTCACTGAATTCTCACCACAGCCGTGTGAGGTCAAGCCTACTGTCCTTCCTGTTTTAGAAATCAAGATATCGAGGAATGCTCTAGGCTCAACAGTGTGTAGTGAAACTGGGGTTTCGAACTCAGGAGGCCGCCTGGCTCCTGCTTCCTTTGATTCTGCTTTGGTGTTTTGCTGGATGACTAACATTTGCCTCGTTTATCTAGTTGTTTGGGTTTTTGTTGCTGTTTGTTTGCTTACTTACTGTCTCCTTCAGAATGTAAGCCTCATGACAGGTGGGATCTTACACGTCTCGTTCACTGTCGTATCCCAGCACCTCGAATTACCACATAGTTGGTGCTTGGAAAAGGTTGGGGGCATGAAGGACCTCTGCAGATGGGTCCTTCCCCTTACATGTCTGCAGCACTTGGTGGAACCCTCCGTGGCTGTGCTTACGACATGTCTGGTCTGTTACCAGTGTCCCCCACCTCTGGTACTCCAGACCCCGCGTTCCTCTAACGTGGGGTCGCGTTATTTCTGAGGAGGCCTCATGGCTCAGCGCAGTGCCAGGTACACAGAGTGTACCCAGGAAATGTTTATTGTATTCACGGCCTCTGGATACTGCTTTTAGAGGCTGTAAAATAAAAACCTTAACATTCTTGCCGGAAAAATGCAGGTTTGGGGGCAGATGCCCACTTCTCAAAAGATTTCACAGCGTCTTCACACTTTGAAGAGAAACAGACACTGTCTTTGGGCAATTGAGTGACTAATTTTTCATTATTACTAACAATGGCTAACATTAGTACCGCAGTTTATAAGTGACAAGGTCCGTAATTTCGTTTGAAGATGAAATGTATATTCATGACTCACGACTATGGTCTTTTAACACGAAATTTGCCGTTGGTAGAATGAAGAAGCTCAGAGAGGTTAAGTCACTAACACAGGTCACACAGCGAGTGGGAGACAAAGCTGGGATTTTATTTACTCATTCAACAGACATCTGTGGAGCACCCTCCACGTGCCTTGTATAGGCCAGGTGTGGAGGATGCGGCAGGGAGCAAAGTGACCGAGGGTGTTGCTTTCAAGGAGGGTACCTTTTAAGCAGGGGAAGGTAGATGCTGGGCAGGTGTACGGAGAAGTGACAAGTAGGTGAAGACGCCGCACCAGGGATCTGTGTTAGAGAATGATCTGGGGTGCAGCACTTACAAGGCGGGAGTTCGGGGAGGCCCCTCTGGGGAGGTGACATTTGAGCAGAGACTGGAGGATGAGAGGGAGCAGGCAGGGGAGAGGCAGGGGAACAGCTTTCTGGCAGAGAGAACAGGCCCTTTCTGTTCCCTTATGTGACCTTCCGAGGAGGAAAGACCCATTCTTGTGTGCTGG